ACACCCTCCGTGGGGGGTGGGGTTTTTTTTTTTTTTTTTAAAAGGAGCGGGGAGCTGGGAGAGGGGGCGAGGCAGCCATTGAGAGTGGGTGGGGGATGGCACCGATTTGGAGAGTCTGTCAATTCGGCTGCAACTGAATCTCCAAATCAGATTTGTCTGAATCAATTCGGGACAGTGATTCGAGTCACCAAATCAAATCACTGTCCCCTGAATTGGCCAAATCCAAATCCAAAGTGAATACTAGCCGCTTCGCACAGGCCTACTGTATACCTTTGTCTATTAGTCTGTTGCAGTGAGGCAGGCTCTAGGCAAGGCATAGCCTATGGCCCACTACTGTGAAGTAGGAGACACAATATAAACCTCTTCTGAGTGAGGCAGGTCCTACAACCTGCACCTTCTACTCCTTGGGTAAGAGCCCTAATCACTAGACTATTGAGTAAAAACGTGGGAGGGACCTCCTTGGCCTCTGCTTTACTCTGGGCACTTACACACACACACAGGTGAATCTATTCTGCCCTGGAGCTCAGAAGGGAAGCACAAGGCAAGCATAACTACACATGTGGGAACAGAATCTCAATTCTGTACAACTGTCACTGAAGTATTCCTCATCATGGAAGCACAAGCCAAAGAGCATTCATCTTTAATCGGTGAAGAAATCTCAACCCCAGGCTCTCTTTAGTAATGTAAAGTCCAAAGCAAAAGGTGCAGCCATATATTGATGTCCTTTCTTGCTGTGATAGTGTGAGCTGGCTAACTATAAATAGTCCATGGCAGTGGTCCTCAATATTTGATGGTCCATGGGCAACACCACACTGCCCTCCCAATCTACTTCATTTTTACCTTTTACTTTCCTGTAAGCAATGGCAAAAGATCTCCTGGGCAGCATGTTTCCTAGAAATCATAAGTTAGGAACCAGTGGTCTATGGCATCCATGGTAGTTAATTTCACAAAGATTATAAAAATCAGCTAATTTAAAACAACATTACTAGCAAATAGTAGTTATTTAAAAAATTAAAAGTTTAAAAATCAAGCTTTTTGGGGATGAGATTCCAAAACTTCGACCTTAACTTGGAGCCCATACCCATGGCTCCAGTGCACTCTACAAGGATACAGGTGTATCAGTATTACAGTAACTTCACAAACTTTCCTATCATTTGATTATACATGTAGATGTGGTGCATGCTACACATACAGCTCAGTATGTAAGTATGGGCATACTGCCCCAGTGTAATTCTAAGACCACCCCAAGAAACAAGCCTGCCCACTTGCTCCTGTCGTGCGCACATGCTAAAAAAGTATTACATGCTTACTGTTTCCTGGCACCAAGCTTAGAATCGCTCAGAAGTGGGGTAGTGTACCCTTAGATGCTGTTTGGTTCTTAGTCAATACACAGTGAGCACATCTACACATGCACATTTACTGTACAGTAACCGAAGTTAATGTGCAGTAACCGAAAATTACTGTGCAATACAGGTGGCATCTACACATGCATGCCTGTACTGCACAGTAAATATGGCATCTTACTATGACTTGGGCATAAAATTGATACCTGCATCATGCAGGTATCAAATGTATACCCAGTTAGTTACTGCTCAGTAACACATGTGTAGACAGACGCCTTACTGCACAGTAGCACTGTGTGTGTGGACTGACTTGGAAATAACTTTAGTCCCAAGTCAGTCCACACACAGCGATACTGCGTTTTAATGCCTGCACGTGTAGACACTGGCCTAAACCCACTGACTGAACAGTAACTTACTGTGCAGTAAATTTAATGTGGTATAAATGTACATGTAAATGCCTGGTGAGTAGATTAGGCCATCAGAGTTTTCTGGGTAAGTAGTAAAATAGTACAGGTGGAAAGACCTGTTTCTGTCTTATGTCTGCTATTGCTGCTTTTACCCAGTAGCAGGGTGCAGGTAGATGACAATATTGAAAGCTATGATGACTCCACTCATTGGTGTTCTGTGATGTTGTGGTGATAGCTGCTTATAATAAGAATAATGAAGACCATAATCTACTATTTTTTTCCTAAAATAATCATAACCTGCTATACCAGTGGTTTTCAAACTTTTTAGGCTAAAGAAAACTGCTCAGGGGGCTCAAAGAGCCCCCAGTGAGACTCAAGGAACCCCTTGGAAAATGCCAGCTCCTCGTTTTCACTCATTTTTTACTACAGAAAAAATAATAGAGCAATTTTTCTGTCGCAAATAACTCAGAAAGCCCACAGCAGGTCAGAATATTTTTGACACTACAGATTGCTATTTGAAATCTCTGGGTCTTGCGCATGATGTGTGGGTGTTTCCATACCTAACAGTGTTAATATTGTGAAACACCCTGCAGCACCCTTAAAACGTTCTTGCATCACCCTGGTTGAGAATCACTGTGCTACATTTTCAATCCTTAACTGCCATTATATATTTCTAAAGTTATCTTTGCAAAGAAAAGGTCAAGTAATTTGCCACCCTCCACTGATGGCTTCTGTGGGCAGTTGCCACCCTCCCCCCAACAATGTTGCCACTGGCTTCTACAGGTGGTTGCCACCCCCAGCCCCTGACCTCACACAGGCTGATATGCCCCGGACCCTGCACACCCCTAGAGACGACTCTGCCCAGGTTGACAACCCCTGATATATGGCAACGTTTTAAAATGTAGATTGGTCTTCTGAACAATTAGTACTAAAAAATAAACAACAACAAAACAGTACTAATTCAAAGTTTTTAGAATAAAGCCAATAGACAGGCTTCACTAAAAACATTAAAATCCTTCTCTTTCTACAGAACGTGCATGAGGAGTTTGAATTGGACAGCCACCTCTTTGATAAAGTGAGAGGAGAAATCAGATCAAGAGAAAGTTACTTCTTTAATTTTAAAAGCACTTCCATGGCTCCATAATTTACAGCCAAACTAGAACTTAATGCTCTTTATTAGCTAGCCCTCTAAGCATGCAAGAAAATGCACCTGGTATCTAGCAAAATTGCTGATGGTTATATCCCTCAAAGAGGTGTTTATTCACAGTGTAAAGAAAGAAAGAAATGTCGCCCATTCAGTTTCACAAGATGGTAAGGTGAGACATAAAGCTGAGGAAGGTAAAAAGGTCGAATAGAAGCAGGAAAAAATATTTAAGGCAAGTGGAGGCCTGGAATAGATTATCAAGGCAGATGCACTATCACAGTGGATATTCGTGAGCATTCAAATAAGGCACCATTACAATGGATGTTCTAGGGTAGGCTGGGTAAAACTATTCCTTCTTGGGATTCCCCAGCTGGCACTGGAGGATGCAGTGGATGAACTGGAGCCCCCCCCCCATCCTGCACCTTGGAGGAGACTCCAATACATTCTCCCCAACCTCCAACAGGGACTGAAAGAACCCCAGACCAAACTCCCCAACCCTCTCTTACCCCCTCCCATTCTGAAAACAGCAACAGGCTGAGAGGCAGCATGAGCACAAATTACAAAAGATGCTCCATTTCAAACATCCTCACTGGATCCCTTCATGCAATGAGGATTCAGATTTTCACCCATCAGCCATTTTTTAAGCTGTCTGCCGCTGTGCACTTGTGTTTGGTCATGGCTACAGAATGCTTTCTGTGGTCAGGTAAAAATTGTCATTTCTGTTTGTGCCCTAAGATTTGATCTTCATATCGACTCAAGCATGGGACTGTGCAAAGATTTTGTGGTTTTAATTCTTAGGGCATTGTAAAACTTTTCTTTTGTAACAGATTTACAAAGGTTTTGTGAAAATGCCAGTGCTCACTGCCGGCATTATAAACTTGAAACTTTTCACTGACATTCTCTGTTAAAGTATATGTAAATAAGCAAAAGCAGGCCAGGATGTGTAACTATCTGATACACTGTGTGCTTTATGATTCCCTAACAGGTCATGCAGATGGATCAAAAGCTTGATGACATCCTGAATGCTCTCCAAACTCAGTTTGACACATGGTTACCGACGCGGACATCAGCCCCAGCCACCCCAACCACTAGACATTTACAGTTATCCTTGGATTCCCCACCTCTAACCCGGAAAATGTAAAAGCCGTGAGGCAACAGCCTGCTGCCCTCTCATTCATTTAAGTATGGTTATTTTTATTATTAGTGTCTGGAACTTCTGAGACCATCATTGCTGGAATGTAAATATTCTGCTGCAGGTTGTTAAATCAAAAGGAAAAACATGATTGTGCTTCCGTGAGAAAACCTAACCTTTGTGCACAGAACCATAGCAATGCTGAGAGAATCCTCCAGCCCATGGGACTCTAATAAAGCTGTAGTATTTAACTGGCAATGCACACACAGAGCACTGAGTTGAGATGGAAATCTAAGTCATAAGACAACTCATCCAGAGGTAGGAATGAAGGAGGGACTGTCATTTCAGTATTCAATCTTCTGTTCTCACTAGTTTATTGTGCATAGCATACCCAAACAGGGAGAGGGGACCAATACTGGAACACAAAACAAATGGAATTCAATCAAAAGGAAAATTGAACAGCATGTTTTGTAGTAAAAATATCTACCAACCAGCAAGGATCATGAAAAGGGCACTGCTAATGTGAATGACAAAGTAAAGACAACAGACTGCTGATTAAAAATATGAGCATGTAGACAGACTGGCTGATATAGGGAAGACTGAAGCAAGGTCTCAGCTAATTAAAGTCAAAGGTTTGCAAATGAGATGGGATGCATGTTGGAATAGTCAGATACAGGAGACAATACCAGCTTAGAATAACAACAGAATGTTTCAATAGTTATCACCTGCACTGATGGTTGTTATGCAACATATTTTCAAACTTTTCCTTTCATTAAGTGATGACTGTTAATCCCAGTTGCCTTATTTTTTAATATAAGAAACCAGGATAATAACTGTATGTGTAAGAATCTGGAAACCACCCGTTCAATGCCTCAGCTGACGCTGGGCAACTGTGAACTGAAGCTGTGACTTTAAATGACCACATTTGAATTCACATACAGTTGATAAAAGCTAGTCACTTTGCTAGTGTACATCGCTGTCTATAATTTAAAATGCTGAGTTTTCATGGAATGTGATTGTAAATTGAGTATATGTGTTATCTGAAACAGTATTTCTGTGAAATGTTACTGACGTGAACAATTTTCAAACATAAATTGATTTTTTTCCTTGCTCTCCAGAAAAGGGATGATGCATTATTATTGTTAAAATATGTAAATAATAAACCTAAATAAAAAGGGTATATTGATATTTACTGAAGCCCTTATATTTGCCTTCATATTATGCAAATAAATACCTCCTGCACCACCTGCAAATATATATTTGCATAATTAAGGGTCTGAATGAACAAATGTTACTGGAATTAGGAGTCCACAGAGCTAGGGCCACATTCTGTAAGGGGATAAGTACCTTCCAGCACCACTGAAATCCATGGAGACTGAAAGTGTTTAGCACTTACCAGGGTGAATTCGGCATCTTATAAGATTGGGTCTTTAACAGACCTGTGCGAAGCAGCTAGTATTCACTTCAGATTCAGATTCAGCCGATTCGGAGGACAGTAATTCGATTCAGTGATTCGAATCACTGTCCCTAATCAATTCGGCCGAATCTAATTTGGAGATTCAGCTGCTGCCCAGTCAGCCAAATCTCCGAATTACATAGGCCCCACCCCCCGCCCACTCTCCGAACCCCACCCAGCCCC